GAAAGAGAGTACAGACATCTTGGGAAAGGTTCCCACCTCCTGCAACGGCCAGTACAAAACAGGACAGCCACATTATGCTGCTGGGAGGCCTCTCCCATCCCTGCTCAATAGAAGCATCAGGCTCCAAGCTGCTCAAGGCTCCCATGGAAAGGTGGTGGTGCAGGTAGGTTTGTGTGGAGGACAGATACAGGTCAAGGGCATCTGTTAACAGCCCCACTGCAATCTTGGAGCTCGTTCTTATGGCTTAAGGTACAGGATAGTTCCCTCGAGTCTGATGTTTTCAGCCCCTGGAGGGTTACATACAAATGGGTTGATCAGAAAGCTCTACAACACTTCTGCTCTTTGTTTCCCACATTTCTGAGCTTTGTGGGAGGCTCGTATGTACACGGGATCTTCACCTTTTGAGACATAAATGATTTGCAGAGAATGGTGTGAATACTGAATAAGAGGTAGGGCTGGGGAGTTTCTCAAGAGATCAGCTCATGTCCCAGCAATGAGACCCTTTATTTTAGCCTCACACGACGATCTCCCATGAGCATTTCTCCCGTCACAGCACTGTTTTGGCTCTCAAACTCTGGGGCAACTAGGGAATGTTAAATTGGTGACTGAGTCTTTTGCTTGGAGCAGGATTAGGCACAGGCTGACAGCTCACTGTAAAGCAGTAAACCAATAATTACCCTTTTCCAGGGTCACATGAAAATGTCACCTTACAGGCTGTGCCCAAGGCCTGTGACAGCGGGATTCCCAAAGGCTAAAGAGGAATTACTGATGTGCGTTTGACTAACGCTGGTCGGATGTGCTCTGCTCTGGGCTCACAGGAATTGAACCTCAGTGCTAGAGGAACCTTGCAGCAGGACACGGTCACACTGCTCCACCCCAAGCTACCGTCCTCCCAAACACCCTCTTAGGTTGTGACTGGATATGAGCTTGTGTTTCCTCCGAACACAGAGAAATCATTTTATTGATGACAAAAAGCAGTTTAGGACCTTTTAGGCCGAAGAACTGTAAAAGCAGGCAGAGGTGTCTCTCCGGTGGTGAGTGATGCATACCTGTTGGCTTGGAAAGACTCCGTTTGCCTCTGCCCTTTCCATCTAGGGGATGCTCTTGGCAATCAGTTGGAAGAATCTGATTTAATGAGCATAGAAGTGAAAATCGCAGACCTGGGCAGCGCGTGCTGGACGGTGAGTGTGCTCTGAGCGTCACTGCCACGACGACGCGGGATGCTGCGTGCTCCTCTCCATCCCACCCCGAGTCTGTCCTTTTAATGTAACTATCCCAGTGTGCTGAAGAGATGCTGATTTTGGGGGGTGTTATATGCAGCACTCCCAGCTCTGAGCTGGGCACTAGACTCCTGCAGACACCCTCAGCTTTGGGTGTTTCTTCAGCCTGCAGTTAGTCCCTGCAATTAGAATCTGAAAACCATGTTCAGTGTGAAGTGCTGGGAGATAAATTCACTTCCTGCTGTGCCCTGCACAGAGTTTAACAGACACATTCAGTTCTGCCCCCCAGCTCCCTCCTTGTACAGGATGCTTGTGGCCACAAGCGTTGCCCTTACTCATTTGTGGACACTAAGGGGAGTTTGTTTCTGTTTCAGTACAAGCCTTTTTCCAAGGAGATACAGACCCAGCCATACCGTGCCCTGGAAGTGCTTCTTGGATTAGACTATGGCACTCCTGCGGATATCTGGAGCACAGGCTGCCTGGTATGGCTAGGAATGACGATGCTACTGGGACTGACACTAATGGGACAGGGATATATGTCCTGCATGTAAAGCAAAACTTCCTCTTGGAGGAGGAAAAAGGGTCTGTCTGCACCTCTTCACTCAGGAGTGAAAGTATCCCACAGATAAAATTCACTCTTAATTAGTTTAAGCTCTGAGGCAATTCACACTCCATATACATTAACTCATCAGGCACACCCTGCTTCTCATCCCCATGGAGCTAAAGGTGCTGTTTCACCATGGCACGGGTCAAACCGGTGTGAATATCTCCAGGTTTTAAGCGCAGTTTTGTGTGCTAGACAGGGAAATTGGCATTATCAGTTAATGGGGAAGAAAAACTCCAAGTCAATTAACGAATTAACAGTGCTAATCCATTTCTAGGCATTTGAAATGGCGACTGGGGAGCGTCTGTTTGATCCTCAACCTGGGAAGTATTTCTCCAGAGATGATGGTAGGACCCCATCAGTTTTACTCACTTTTCTGACAGAAATGTCACAATCTTTGTCTCTAGATGTGTTTTCCCTCTGCCCAGATCACGTTGCTCGTATTATTGAACTCCTGGGAAGAATTCCTCCTCAAATTGCTTACTCCTGGAACAAGTCAACAAATTTTTTCAGCAGGCCAGGTAAGAGCTGGAGTGCAGGAGGTTTACTCTAAGAATCTCTGCGGATCTCCGCCACCCTCCCACTCACACTGAAACCCCCCCAAGTTATGCGACACAACACAGGCTACAAGCAGATTTCAATGGTAGCACTCCCTGCCCTGCCTACCTCTGCAATCCAGGAGCATTCCAAGGATGAATGCAAAATCCTGGAAAACAGTCACAGCAAACACTCAACAGGGAAAAGCATTTTAATTCTTTCTCCTTTGGATCTGGGGAGAAGGGAAACACGGACAGGAAATAGCCACATGCCAGGAAGGCTGGAGAGTGCGTAAGGGGCTGGAATTCACCCCTTCACTGGCAGAGAACAGTGATGATCAGGAGTGGGACACTCACATCCTTCCAACGTGGCTGCTGTATTTAGTCTTCTGACCCAACTGTAACGTCTCTTGCTTTATTCTCCCTCATTCCTTTCCCTTTGACTCATTAGGCTCGAACTCCTTGTCTTTGACTTCAAGGCACCACATGACACGGCAATTTAGTCCATCACCCTCCTTCCCTGCTCTCACGCTCAGCAGCCACGCAGCCTGCCCACAATGCTGAGTGCTGCTCCCATGCACAGCATGTTCAGCAAGCACCTCCCTGCACATCCACATCCTTTGCTCACGCTTATTCCTTCTATGGTGCTCGAAAGCCATGAGTCAAAACTAGTTCTTACTCTGCATTCACTCTCCGTGCAAACCAAACTGGCCTGACCACACATGTCTAACCTGCATCGCTGCATTTACATCAGATGCTCCTGGGGGCGAGCTCTGGGCCAGTAGCTGCACTCTCCTGGTCCCCATGGAGTTAGGGAGGAACAAGACACATTAAACTTAAGTGTCTTGTGCGCTCTGGCACTGGAACAGCGCAGTGTTGCGGGTTGCATGTGAACCGGCAGAGGGAACAGCAGCAGTGGCTCTGGCGTGGCTATTCTGGGAACGCCTCCTTCATTCTTGGCACGTTCTCATCTAAGAAGTGCTCAGGAATGGGGGGGCGGGACGGGACACGGGCCTCCAAACACTAGTTTGGAAAGATAATTACTGAGAAACAGCCGAGAGCCAAACCTGCAAGGGGCAGTGCAGGTGAAGCTGACAGAGAAAGAACCACCCAATGGTTTGTGTTGGAAGGGACCTTCAAACTCATTTATGTCCATCCCCCTGCCCCGGCAGGGGCATCATCTAGTAGACCAGGTTGCTCCAAGCTCTGTCCAACCTGGCGAAGGGGAAGGAAAGGAATCCTTCAGGATGATTTCTATGAGGCGAAGAGCGGCAGCCCCTCAGTCCTGCACCCATCACCCTGTGCTTGCGCTGTCTCCTCTCGGCGCTCTCCTGCGGACCTCCAGGCTCTGCCCCCGCAGCCTCCACACCGTCCTGTCGGACAGGCACCACTGGGCAGGACACGAGGTTTCCACCTTCGCCAGCTTCCTCCTTGCGGCGCTGCACTACGCGCCCCAGCGCCGCGCCACAGCCGCGCAGT